AATCCTAGTTGGAATAGGATTCCTTGAGGGGGGAAAGAGAGAGAGGGGGCCGGCCACCTCTCCTAGTCCTAATAGGACTAGGGGAAGGGGGAGGCGCACAGCCACCTTGGGCTGCCCCTTTCTCCTTTCCACTAAAGCCCACTAAGGCCCATATAGCTCCCGGGGGGTTCCGGTAACCTCCCGGTACTCCGGTAAAATCCCGATTTCACCCGGAACACTTCCGATATCCAAACATAGGCTACCAATATATCAATCTTTATGTCTCGACCATTTCGAGACTCCTTGTCATGTCTGTGATCACATCCGGGACTCCGAACAACCTTCGGTACATCAAAATGCATAAACTCATAATATAACTGTCATCGTAACCTTAAGCATGCGGACCCTACGGGTTCGAGAACAATGTAGACATGACCGAGGCACGTCTCCGGTCAATAACCAATAGCGGAACCTGGATGCTCATATTGGCTCCTACATATTCTACGAAGATCTTTATCGGTCAGACCGCATAACAACATACGTTGTTCCCTTTGTCATCGGTATGTTACTTGCCCGAGATTCGATCGTCGGTATCCAATACCTAGTTCAATCTCGTTACCGACAAGTCTCTTTACTCGTTTTGTAATACATCATCCCGCAACTAACTTATTAGTTGCAATGCTTGCAAGGCTTATGTGATGTGCATTACCGAGAGGGCCCAGAGATACCTCTCCGACAATCGAAGTGACAAATCCTAATCTCGAAATACGCCAACCCAACATCTCCCTTTGGAGACACCTGTAATGCTCCTTTATAATCACCCAGTTACGTTGTGACGTTTGGTAGCACCCAAAGTTTTCCTCCGGCAAACGGGAGTTGCATAATCTCATAGTCATAGGAACATGTATAAGTCATGAAGAAAGCAATAGCAACATACTAAACGATCGGGTGCTAAGCTAATGGAATGGGTCATGTCAATCAGATCATTCTCTTAATGATGTGATCCCGTTAATCAAATAACAACTCACTGTTCATGGTTAGGAAACATAACCATCTTTGATTAACGAGCTAGTCAAGTAGAGGCATACTAGTGACACTCTGGTTGTCTATGTATTCACACATGTATTATGTTTCCGGTTAATACAATTCTAGCATGAATAATAAACATTCATCATGAAATAAGGAAATAAATAATAACTTTATTATTGCCTCTAGGGCATATTTCCTTCACTTACTGACTCCAGTCTCCAACCTGAAGTTGGGGGGAATCACTGCAGCCGTGATGGCTCTGCTGAAGCACTCTGGACCTGAGACATGCACCCTGCTGCTGGTTTGCGGATCCCTGTCATGGCCCTCTCGGTGAGCTCTGTTTCTGTCGACCAAGCCCTGAACGAGAATAAATCTCGCATCAAAGCCTGGCTCCCTGGGGTCGACTGGAATCCCTCGCCCAACACTGTGAGGGCGCCTGTCTTCATGTTGCCGAGGCACGTACGACCCACTCCTTCGGGGAGGCGTGGGCACTCGACGACGATCATCGCGATCGACTTGGTGATCATACTGCTCACGGTTTCTGTACTGATCTCGTCGATCTCCACGTCCTTCACGCCTCAGGAGCGATCTTGGGCTGTGGGCCGACTGAACTGTGTCTGCAACCACGGATCTGCTATGGATCCTATTCCGCGATTGAGATACGACTGTATTCTGTTCTCCCTCCGCCCGGAGCAAAGCTCGGATCTGCACCAGACCTCGGTCAGCTTCTGACTGGGAAGGTTGGATCGACTCCGCTATCCGGGCAGCAGCTGCTAGATTCTGGATCGGGGTTCGATATACCTGAGTCGGAGGTGGAAAAAGTTGGCGTCGACTGGATTCGGGAGCACGCTGCCGAGCGCGATCGTCGAGTGCGCGCTGGAGGTTCTCCAGTCGAGTGGGCTCAGCCAAGTTGGCTAAGCGCACCTGCTCCAAGGCCTGGGCCTCAGGGGTTTCTCCAACTATAGGAGTATGCAGTGCATCCATGTTCCGGCGATGAAGTTCCTCCCTTTGCTGCGAAGAGAGGGGTTCGGGGCGATACTCTTCATGAACGCGCGACGGATCGCCGTTCCCATCGCCTCCGTCTTCATGGGTGAAGCCAGGAGGACCGCGTGGTCCATTGACCATCAAAACTTTTGCCGTTGGGTCGCTGCTGTCGCACTCGGATGCAGTCTCTACGGAGCCAGTCGACAGATCGAACAAGCCGTAGAGAGTTTCGTCGGGCTCGATTGCCGCGACTTGAGGGGTGGCCGACTGGCGGGCCACCGCATGCCTCACCCACCGCTGAAGCCTCGACTGACCGGAACGTTTGCTCCGGCGGGCCGCAGGGAGGGGGAAAGCTGCTGGAGCCGACTGATACTGAGTTGACGGCTGAAGCAGGAGGACGTCGCGGACGCACGCGCGAAAGTGCGTCGCCCCGCGGGCGGGGAGTGCGTCGACGTCGAGTGGAGCCTCCTGAAGCCAAGCGGAGTCGTCGGCGACAAACACGAGCGCGCCGAGACGGATCTCGCGGCCCTTAGCCAAACCTCCGCCTGGAACCATGATGAAGGGGATCGGAAAAATTGCAACTTCTCCAACAAGTCGCTAAGACACCTGCCCCACGGTGGGTGCCAACTGTCGTGGTTCTAAGCCTGACAGTAGAATAGGGGGGGGGGTAGTAATGTAGAGGCAAGATCCTAGCTATGGAGGAGCTATACACACGAGTTTTACGAGTTCAGGCCCTTCTCAAAGGAAGTAACAGCCCTACGTCTCGGAGCCCGGAGGCGGTCGACTGGATATACGCGTGTGAATTACAAAAGGTGCGAACCCTTGTCCCAGAGGAGAGGGGTGGCTTATATAGAGTGCGCCAGGACCCCAGCTCCCCTCCGTTACACAGGGTTCAATGTTCATAAAGGAGGAGCGTTACTGGTAACGTCCGGAGTAAAGTGCTATAAATGACCATAAAGCTATGACTTAAGTCTTGACCGTTGCGGAGTGAGTGTCTTCACATCTTCTGACGGTCGAATGGTTGTTCGCATGGTCGAGTGTCTTCAAGGCTATCGAGTGGGACATAACTTCATGGTCGGGTGGATGATGATTTCTCTCCGACCGCTTCTGGTTCTTTTAGAGATGTCCTTGGGGAGGGCATCTTGAACAGATCCATGACCCTACCCTAGGTACATAGCTTCGTCAGTGGGCGCCTCGGGGACGGGCAGAGGGGGGAAAGGGACCTCGCCGGTGCTGAGCCTCCACCGCGACGGAGCGCGTACGTCGGGCGGCGCGGGGTAGTTGGCCTCGTGGAGGAGGTGGGCCTCCCACTCATGCAGCGAGCAGCGGCCGAAACCGTTGGCCGCCGCCGCGTCGCCGGGGTACCTCGCGCTCATGGTTGTCGGGTGGGAGAGAGAGGGGCTCGAACGGCGGAGAGAGGGGAGGAAGTGCGGCGGCGAGGAGGGGGAGTATTGGTGCCTCACCGGCGCGGCCAGGGGCGGCCGCGTGTGAACGCGTGGCAGAATGCGGGGCGGCGGCGCCGCACTTCACCGCCCGTGAATCAATGGCAGGCTGACTCGGCGGCAGCCTTGGCATTGATTCCCCGCGGGAAAACCGTGACGATGAGGACGACCAGCCTTCGTCTCGCTGACGTGTCGGTCCCGCCACTCTTTCGCGCCAAAACGTTCAAGCCAGCGCCCCCGAGCGTCCCCCAGCGTGCCGGGTTCGGGTTGAGTGCGCCGGCGCCAATTTCGGCCCAATCCGGCGAAAAACAGGCTCGTGGCTGGAAATGCTCTTAGTCACTGGACCGATTTTTCGACGCCGGCGCTAAAAAACGGGCTTGGGGGGGAGGGGGGGGCTGTTGGGGGCGTGGCTGGAGATGCTCTTAGTCACACATCCCACGCGCCTCCTTCCTTTATCCATCTATTCTCGCGCTGGCCGTCGCCGCTTCATTACTTTTGATTTGCCGGTTCTACCATTTTTTTTCCGTCGTAGTAGCTGTTGGCAACAATGGTTCCAACTTTTTATTTTGCCAGTCCCAACATACGTGGTCACCGGTTCTGGCAAATGTGATCGCCGTTTTCAGCAGATCGCCTCGCTATCCGTAGTCGTTTGTTCCAGCAAATGCGACGGCTGGTTCAATCATCTCGTTTTTTGTAGCACTTTTTGGGCTGGACAGGAATGAAGCGGTGTTGCAACCGACGGTGGCAAACGAGAGAGTGTGCCACATGCTGGTGTTGCCGGGGCCGCCGTCGACGACGAACGCGGCTGCCGCACCCGGCAAGGGAGCACCCGATGGAGTAGGGCATGCCGGGCGTGGTGACTCTGTTTTTTCTCTCTCCCCTACGCTCTTTGATGTGATTGGGGTTGCTACCACTGACCGGATCCGACGGCTGGAAGATACCAATTTGGATGGGTAGGGTTCAGTTGGCCCAAAGTTGGACCGATCGACTGGCGCCTAGTACCTGCCATTTTTATTGGCACGATGATGAAAAATTTAGTTTACTCACCAAGTAAACTTGCCATCATCTGCGAACATAATTTGTCATGCATAAAAGTCTGACCGTCGATTATTCGAATCGTTTGTATAATGTAATTAGTGCGAATCTTGATAGTAAGTTTTTGCAGGATGTGCTTGAGCTCATCTGCTGGTACAGTGATTAGTTCACCTGCCTGTTGTCTCCTCCGTAACGAGTTGACAGAGAAAGTACACGCGACAAAATGTACTCCAAGACACGCTAAGAGTAATGGAATCAGCCGTTCTCATATGTCGTTGTGGCATGTGTGGTCGCAGGGGTAGGGGCAATCGATGGCCCTCACTTCAGCCCGGCCAAAGTACCAGTCACTCACAGATTTCGCGATACTCTGTGCACGCAAGAACAAGACACAAATGAATGAATCAGTGAGCATGAACTATATAACCCACTTTAAAATCCAATTGGTAGACAGTAGATACCTTATTGTGAATGGTAGGAGAGCCATTTGCATTCCAAGTAGCCGGGACCTTGGACTGGCCGTGCGTGAAGCACGAGTTTATGAAGAACCCATTGCCCTTGGAGCGGGAGAAGGCGCCTTGCACAATTCCCACCATCTGCTCCCTGAAAGCTGCACCCATAAATTTCAGATCATTGCTTGATCATCGTATGTATCACAATTTAGTGTGCTGCTAAATTAATCTATTCTATAGATGTATGTATACCTTGCAAGACTTTCATCTGGGATGCGTTGCAGGCTAAACGACTGGACTTGCAGGCTCGCCAGGCGCCGCCGTGGTCGGCCACGTCCGGGGCCAGGCTTTCATGGATCTGAATTACATTTTCTTTATTGTTACACGGACGAAAAAGAAACTATATATGCTGAGATGATGTCTGGTCAAATATATATATATATATACCACAGCTTCCTACCTGCCATGTATCGTAGGCTGCATTCAGCAGGAAGGTCGGGGTTTTTATGCTGCCGATTATGTTCTGCGGGAAGAAGCACTGCATGCATGTGCACGTACATGAGATGGTAGGGGTCAGTTGAGTTCGGCTTCATGGGTTACGGTAGAGTTCAACAGCTAGATATAGCATGCATGCATGCATGTAAACAGATGAAACCAGCGCTATGCATGTATTCACGTTACGCACCGAGGTGGCGTCGAGACGACCGGTGCAACTCCTCGGCAGGGTCTGCGCCACCCCATGCGTGGCCACGACGCCTCCGAAGTAGGATCTCAAGGTATGCCCACCGGCGACGTCGACGCTGCGTGCATGCATGGATTCAGAACAATGAAGATCGATGCGCAGTGTGGATGGATGAGTTATGGATGCATGTGTGTGTAACGTACGCGTCGAGGAAGAGCCCTGCGTCGGCGAGGCACTTGACGGTGGTGCTCCGGCCGGCGAAGAAGGCGCCGAACTGGTCGCAGTGCAGTATTGCCGACAGGCCCCCGGCGGAGCCGCCCGCCAGCAGCACCTGATCCGCGGAGGACATCCCAATGGAGAGGAGGTGCTGGATGACGGCGTCAAATATGCGCTGGCCCCGGAAGTAGACCCTCGAGCCCGCGTCGTAGCCTTCGCCGGCGAAGGACGCGCCGTCGCAGTAGCGGACCATCACCCGGTTCCAGCTGTAGAAATCTAATGTGCGTACGCAGGAGTGCAAGCGTTAGTAAATGTAAGTCCAACGTCGATGCATACCGCATACGTACGTTTGTATTTATGAGCCATATGTATGTACGGACCAGGGTTCTCGGCGGGGTTGGAGCTCAGGATGCCACGGAACTCGAGCTGCCTTTCCATGAGATTCGAGGACCCGAGGCGGCTCCCCTTGCGGTACATGCACGCCGTCACGTTCTCGCACCAGCCGCCTCCCTGCATTCTCGCAGTATGTTCGATAGATTTGGTAAAATGTACTCCCTCCGTAAACTAATATAAGCGTTTAAATCATTACTTTAATAATCTAAACGCTCTTATATTAGTTTACAGAGGAAGTATGTATCACATGAACTGAAGAAATAGTTCTGTATAGATGTACCTCTAGGTTGACGATCCAGCTCTTCTTCCCTGCACCGGACCCCGGATCCATGTGGTAAGCCGGCGGCGTCCCATCCATGCACACTGCACATCATTTTCATACTTACATGGGGTCTGCTTCAGTACACCCTTATCCCAATAAATCTCCACGTGATCCTATATACCTAAATAATGCATACTCACAGTCCCTATTATCTTAACATGCGCACATGTCATCTTATCAAAGGCCCACCATAACATGCATGAGAAAAGGTTTTCCATTATTAGTTGATCACATGCACACATGCCACCTCATCAAAGGTCCACTCAACATGCATGAGATTTTTTTCCAGTTATATTATGTCATGTATATTCGAAATATTTTTCAACTACACAGTAATCAAATACAAATATAGTATTCATTTCTAGTTTTAGATCATACTCATATATTATTAATTCAACTATGTATGTATACAATCAATTCACTGAAATATATTGCAATCAATTCCCGTGGCAACGCGGGATATTCTCTAGTTAGATTAGTAGTCAATATTCCACAAAAAAAGATTAGGTAGTCAATACATGAATATTGCAAGAGAGTATCATCAAGCAACATAACAAATGCTTAATTTGGTGTTGAATTTGCAGGGTTTAATAGGGAATATTATGGTAGTTAGTGTGCATTAAGACCCAATTTGTAAGGATCCAACAAATTCCTGACCATTGCAGTACAGCTGGATACTATTCAATTCCGTTAGTTGTACCATCCATTTTATTGTTGATGTGATGGCATACCAAAAATTCAATTGTATATTATTTTGTAAGATATGATTTTATATGATAAGCCAATAAGACATGCACTAGTAGGGGCGTTCTCAAGAAAAATCGGTGGGAGAAAAATCGACAAACCAGAAACGGGAAGGGGAAGTGGAGGGAGGACGGATTAAAAAGACAGACAACATAATATTAGTATTTTTTAAGATAATAGTAAGAGAGATAAAATACAAACATAGAGTGTAGAAACCGACTGGAACGCTTGAATTTCAATTTGGTGAAACATAGAGTGTAGAAACGGATCAACTAGAGGGTTGAAAATAGGTTCTCTCTAAGGTACGAAAAATCAAGAAGGTTGGGTCTGCTGTGCTGGTTTCCGCCTGATTTCCTTTTCGTAATGATTAATTGGCTTGCCAATTTTGTTTTTGTTTTTATGAAAAAAAGAGCTCTTGCCACACTTGCTTGAAAAAAGAGTCACATGTGAATACTTGTTGCTTCTCTCTTTATGTTCGAGACGAGCATCACTAGACTTTCATGTGTTTTTTTGTAAACAGCAGACATACGTGTTATAGCACTTACTGCTAGTTCCTGGGCCAGCAAATACGGCTTCTAGGGGACAATCATAACTGAATTGTGGGGATTCACTTTGAATGGATACAGAAATTGCAAGGAAGTATAAAACCCTTCCAAACTGATGGGGGCTGGGCCTTGTGGTTGGAAAACTGGACATAATCTAATAAAACGTATTAAAGGTTGATTCAGAATTGGCATAAACACATGTACATACCGGCTCCCTTGTCGACGGCGGATGTGATGAGGGTGATAGGCACCGCCGGTACGCCCGGCGCCGCCGCGAGGACCAAAACGACAATGGAAAGCGCCCAAAGCTTGGCCATCCCGACCTTCTCCTCCATCTTCAACAATGGAGATATGGATACTCACGAGTCACGACTCTCTCCCAGTTGGCTCCTAGAAATATGCCCGTCGAATTGGGGATATATATTGATGGTCCTCAATTAGTACCAAATATAAAGGAATTAATTTTTTCAAGAAAAATAAATAAAAGGTAGGTATTAAATGCAGCGACTATGATTGCCTGCATATATCCAATCTACTATACGCGAACATGGCATGACACACCGCCTGGGGCCTAGCTACAATTTTGCTTACATTTCCTTCCATATGCGCCAATTGGCCAGCACGAAATTTCGAGGAGTGGGGCTTCAAGATATATGCTCCTACCAGAAAGTCAATCATCCAGCACGGAATTTCAAAAAGTGAAGCTTCGAGATTTATATGTCCTTGTCCGAGAAAGACGATCACACCGCTGGGATCAGTGTGCAATCCATCTCAGCTTATTCTCTCGGTTCATCCATATCCAAGCGAAGCTTATCACCACACAAGTACTCCCTCCATTTTTAAATATAAGTCTTTTTAGACATTTCAAATACAGATGTATGTAGACATATTTTAGAGCGTAGATTCACTCGTTTTGCTTCGTATATAGTCATTTGGTGGAATCTCTAGAAAGACTTATATTTAGGAACGGAGGGAATACTAGTATATCTATCTGCATGAGACTCGCATGGCCATGTGATGAGGGCATTCTACTACAGCTACACCAATAGCTCCTGTAGTCACACCTGCTCAAGTAAGATAAAGGCACTAGAGCTCTCGGGCGTCAACCTAAAATATTGGAAACTTTCGTCTCTAGGAACTTCTGCTAATGATCATCCTTGGGGGAGGACCAACTAATTAAAAAATGATTTTTAGCAGCAAATCTTCACTAATTGTACACTGTTCATTAGCAAAAATGCAGCGTAAGGAGGGGTCCCAGTACTGGAAGTCTATTCATTCGATCAAATATGAGAGTCACCTAGGGCTGAGCGTCTCTATAGGCAATGGGGTTGGGAACCTTTTCTAGCTGGACCCGTGGCTAGGCAGATCTCCGCTTTGCGCCGAGTTCTCATATCTATTTGGCATCTACCCAGACCTGATATTTTTTGTTTCCCCGGCCGCCAACAATGGGAGTTGGAACATCTCGTTCCGACGAACATTTGGACCCGAGGAAACGGTAGCTTGGGCCGCCCTTCGAGCAGCCCTCCCATCAGTGTTGGCAGACTCTCCAGACGTCATATCTCGCCACCTAGACCCGCTGGGGCTCTTCCATGTTGGCTTGGCATATCGTGCCCTATGTCGTGCGCCGACACTTGCATGGACCACAACTTGCTGAAAAGTGCCCCTTTCGCTGAAGATCAAGATTTTCTTATGGCAGCTTCAACTTGATCGCCTCATGTCGAGGACAGAGGTGGTCAAGCGACATGGGCCGGTTGATGGTCTATGCCCCCTTTGTGGTGTCTCCGAGTATGGGTTCTTCGTGTGTCCCGTTGCCCGATTCCTCTGGAGCTTTGTCCGTGAGGCCTTGGGGCCTAAGTGGCTGGCCCTTGACCTGGCTGAGTTCCTGGATAGAAAGGCGAATCATAGCGGTAGGTGGAGACATCTCTTCTGGTTAGTGTTCGCCGCGATAACCTAGATTCTTTGGATGACAAGTAACAAGATGGTCATCAAGAGCGGATAGTTTTGCGACGAGCCACTAACTCGCTATTCAAATTTCTGCCTTTTGCAGCACTGGCACCTACTCTCTAGGCAGCAAACAGAGATTGGCTAGGCAACATGATGGATTCACTGATAGCGACAAAATGTCACCTTGCTTTGCCTCTAGGTCATTGATCTTTCAGGCGCGTGTGGGTTTATGTTGGCATTTTCCTTTTCTTTTTGGGCATACTTGTATTGTTGCCCCATCAGACTTTTTTTTTTCTTCGGTACTTGACCTTGTTGTATGAAAGTGGTGGTTTGCTTTATTTATAAAGCGGGGCAGAAGCCTATTTGGAGAATATGATACTGTCTAAATAATATATGATTGTATTATTAAGGAATAAATGGCCTAGCATGGATGAGAGGGACAAGCATCAGAGCATGAGCAAGCATGAAGATGGCAGCAACCATATGTGAAAGATGGAGATTTAAGTAGAGATTTTATAACTTCGAATCCACCATCACGTAATGATGCATAAACACATGGATAAAATATATAGGATGATACTTCATATTTTTCATCCACATCGTTCTATAGGTATTGCGCTACCTTACTTTTGGATCAACCCCGTGTACATAACCACAGGTAGTTTTTAGAGTCTGCATTAGTGGAGAAAACTGAGTTAGGATGGGATTCTCCTCCCCCTCTGTCCCTCCATAAATACTATGTGTAGGGTTTATTTTGTTAAAAGATTGTCATTATTATATCTTCTTGTAATTCGTTTATGTCCAGGGACCATGCCAGGGCTGCTTACGAAGCCCCAACTTTCATATATACTTCATATAATATTCATAATGTTCTTCCTTGTTCTTCGATTACTTGTAGGGATTACATATTTGTGGTCAGGTTTATCGTGCCTCGACATGGTCAGTAAAAACTCCAAAGTTGGTTTAGCGATTATATAGGTGCAAACCTCATCACACATTGTAGTCGGATCGTTTAAGTCGACTCCACCCAAATTAAAAGACTAATTTGCATTGAAAGATTGGGACACCCTTCTACCTATCGGAAAGAGCATATAACCCCATAGGTCAATTTTTATAATTAATGTTAACATATCTGAAGGAAATAGGGTCGGTTTGGTTCGAGGCCTGGAGCAAAATTGCCTGGCCACAAACTTGCCTGGAATGTGCCTGAGCTATGTTTGGTTGATGTCCTAGACTTCTGCTTCTAGCCTGGCCTGACAAAGCTGACAAGCTCATTAGTCTGTGCTGGCCGGCAGGCATGTGATTAGCCTGGGCCAGGCGATCCATTCCTTACGCCTAGGTGTACTGCCCCAGCTGCCTGGCATTCTTGTATTATTTCTTTTGCATGGTATGGGTAGGTGTTGAGTTTTTTATGTACTAATTTGTACTGTAATCAGCAGCAGCCTCAGGACGCGAACCAAACGCCACATGCCTAACCAGGCAAAAATATCAGCATTCTCAGGCAACCTTCAGGCATCAATTTTCACCAGGCATGAACCCCATGTCTTCATCCAAACAGGCCCATAATGCCTACTGCAAGTTTATTTCAGGGGAATTTCTTGTGGGTGCAATAAAGAATGGAAGATGACCCCCACAAAATTACATGAGGACTAGTGTTGATTCCTTAGGCATGTTGATGCTATCAAAAGGAGACGAGGATGATGTAATGATTTTCTCTCTTCGCGTGCTTAAAGATCAAACTCTAATGACTTCAAAATCCTTCAACATTCCTCCACTATATCTACCCAACTTTCATATTCGAAGTTGTCGAGCTCTTCTTGTTAGAACCACCGAGCAGTACACCAGATATAGCCATTGCAAAACCTCTTCCATTCGGAGCTACCAATTGTTCCATTTGGAATTGTTGAATATTTTGGCAAACCATCGGTTGCCTCCTTTGAACTTTCGAAGCCATCCAGCCAGAATTCTGAAGCAACAACAGTGTGCCATTGCTAAAGAGTTCCATTCGTAGCCTCCAAATGCTCTTTTTTCAGATCATCTGAGCCATTTGGATGTTGACACTTTTATTCACGTCAGAGCCGCCGACTTGATCACTCGAGAGCTTTCGAGTTGTGTAATAAAGTTGGTAACGACCAGATTTATGATCCCTCCTATTTATACTCCACATATCCCACATGTTCACTCGAAGCAAACTCCAGTCCCATCATTTGTTCTCAAAGAGAACTCCACCTCCTCATGACGATTTCAAAGGGCTTTCTAATCTAACCATCGAAGTCAATCCTTTGAGATCTAATCTCTCTTGTTTTCCACTCCTACTTCTCCAGTTCAAAAGCCAAAGCTTGAGAGAGTATGGGTGTTGAAGAGATTATCTTTTGAAGCACAAGAACAATGGATTCATCAGCTAGCAATCGCCATCTTATTACTTTTGGAGGTTGTGTGCCTCCTAGATCGGCAAGGTGGTTGCAAGTCTTCAAGTTTGTCAAGAAGCCAAGAATTTTGTAAGGGCTAAGAGATCACCTAGTTTGTGAAGATCCATGCTTAGTGAGGCTAGTCCTTCATGGGTGTATGCCACGGTGGAATAGATTGGTTGATCCTTCGTGGATTCTTCATGGGTGAATGTCCTTCATGGACCATCCCTTTGTGGGATCTCGCAAATGTGATCACTAGTAGAAAACATGGCTTTGATCATAGCTCAATATACACATTAGTCCCGGTTCGAGCGGCTAAAGGCATTAGTTCCGGTTCAAATGGGACCTTTAGTCCCGGTTTGAGACACGAACCGGGACTAAAGGGCGCCGCACCCTTTAGTCCCAGTTCGTGTCTCAAACCGGGACTAAAGGGCCCATTTCTCAAACTCTCTCCCCCCCCCTGCGTGTATCACCATTTCAGTTTTGAAAAAAACAAAAGAAAATGACAAAAGATAAAAGATAAAATCCTTCGAGATGTAGTTATATTACTACATCTACTAGTTAGGAAAATTAGAAAACTTAAATTTGGACATGTTTTGCAAAAAAGTGTTATGAAAAAGTAAAACAGCTATAACATTTGCGTACGATGTCGGAAAAAAAACGTATAATATATCAAAATGTTCAGCACGAAAATCCGCATCTGATTTTGATCGCCTACTGCGTGTTTGCAAATTTTTAGAATCCTCAAATTCTAAAAGGAAAAATTATGCTCAAATTTTAGTTTTTTTGAATTTTAGTCAAACTACTTATTCAAGAAGTATTACTGTTACTAAATAATTATTCAAGAATATTAGTGTTACTTTATTTCAGTTTTTTTGAATTTTGGTCAAATCCGGTCAAACTGTGGTCAAACTACTTATTCAAGAAATATTAGTGTTACTAAATAATCATTGTTTTTTAGAATAATAGTTTCAAACTCAAAT